AATGTTAGACTTTTTTTAGCCTGGCACTTGCCTACTAACTCTGTTGGTGCTGTTATTTGGTCCTGGCCTCACTTTTGTTTTTTTTTAACCGTGGCTTATAGGATGTCATTGTGTGACCACTAGACTGAAAAAGGTCTTCTCCTGATACAGGTTAGGAAAATTAGCACTTTGTATTGGTTCTAGAAGCAAATACATGCAGGGAGCTATGTCATGCTTTGGAACATGCAGGAGCTCAAACATACCATTATTGTAATGTGGAACTCTTTAAAGCAGCTGTATCTTATTGCATGGAAACCGGAGGACAATTGAAATCCTGATAAAATATGTACCTGCTTTAAAGAGTTGTAAATAGGTGCTACGGGGTCACGAAGAGTCGGACACGACTTAACGACTGAACAACAACAACAAATAGGTGCTACATTCATGCTTCCTCATACTCTGAAACACCTTTTCCAAATCATTTCTGAAGCCACAGTCCAAATAATCAATGCAACTCATGCCAAATTGGTGTAAAAAATCCAAATACCTAGCCCTCACCATGTTCTGTGCTACTGCCTCCTGTCCTGTCTAACTGAAATATTTGAACTGCCTTGGGAGATAGTCCTGTATACATTGTTATATAATATTCTGGGTACCCAAGACATGAATAACAGAGTTGCAGTAAATAGTAGCCAAGATCAAATTGAAATTTGGAAAATTCACAAGTCCATACTTGATCTTTCAGATGGAGTGTGACTCTGTTTGAGAAAGAGGGGTTGATTTCTACCTTCCTGGATTAAATTGCACATTGAGTTTAATGTGTTTTATTCTTTGTAGTAAAGAGCTGTAATTTTCATATGTCCTGGTATATATTTTCTTTGGCTCTGAGAATTACAAATTACATTTGTAGAATACAGTAGTAGTAATAGCAATTTGCATAGTTGTGAGTCACCATAGAAAATAATTGCAGAGCTATGCTGTCTTTCACTTTACATCAAATACAAAACATGTTATTCTCCCAATATTTTGCCCTGGATCACTTCCTAGTCTTTTACAGGCTGCATTTGCATGACATATTTAGGTCAATGGTGCTCAAACTGCATCGTTCATGTCTCAAAACTCAGACATGTCCAAGATAGGGCAAAGTTCAACCCTGCCCCTACCATACCCAAGGTTTGTTCTTAGTTTACTTACCTTGACCCCAGTTTGATTTATGACTTAGCTTATCCCAACTCTGACATAGAGACAAGAAACTAGAGCAGCCAGCAAACATGAAAATTGTGCCAGGAATGAAATGTGTTGCCTGCAGGCACCATGGTGCCTATTCAGTGTCCTAGCGGTAATTTCTTTACCTACAATTTTTATGATGAATTTATGATTTATTTTATCTGAGCAGCTACCTTGAAAATGTACAGAGGAAATGTACATAAATTATATCTAACTCCCAGACATCTGTCCCTCTGGCCAAACTTCATGGGTAAATTCATATAATCTTCACAATAAAAATCTGTTGACGGTTTATGATACTTTTGTACAAAGGTCAATATTCAGGGTTTCAGTATAGGCCTCTCTGAAGACCATTTCAGCCTAAGAAGTCAGGGCAGAGCAAAAGGAAAGATATTTGCAGTAGCAGTTGATTTGCTTTTGCCACAATGCTGATTCTTTCTGCTTTTGATTCAAAGGTCAACCATCGAAATAATTGAAAACTTAAAGCCAAAGTTTTGAAGGTGGATTTTTTCAACATTTATTTACTAATGTATTAGGCTTTCAGTCTACAAATTGCACATGCAAGACACACAGTGCACAGGAAGGGAGGAAATCAGTTCTCCCAAGCCACAAAGAAATGGTGAGCAATATGCTGGTATTTCTATGTAGTTCAGACTTGGCTGACCTTCCTTTGGTGGTGGTCCTTCTTGAATCACAATTTCTGGCTTTTGTTCCTATAGCCACCAGCCTTTTGGTAAACCAGTCCCAGGTCAGATGTTAATAGGACAGAAGGAAAAGCAAATTCCTTACAGCTGCTCTATTGCTCTTCAGTGGAAGGGGCCAGGCTAGTCACACCCCCACCTTTGGCATAATATTTTTCCTGAGAGGCAGGAGTACAGCTTCCCTGAGCACCTAGCATCCTCAGTTGGAGTTGCTCCAGCTCCCACCTGAGCAGGCTTTTTCCTAATTCTGTTTCTTTTTCTTCAAACAAGGAGCAGGTGCATGTATTGTACTAAGCCATGGTTTTGTTAAGAAGCACAATGGCTGGATTCACATAACACTTTAAGCCCAAATCCCATCAGATCATGTTGTGACTGAGTGAGATGCATGAATCCAGGATTAAATTCCTCCTCCAAAGAGACAACTACTTTTGGGCTGTCTTTGGATTACAGATTTAACCTATGTGGTATTTTGTGAATGCAATTATTTTGGTTTGCATCATCTGCTGAAACACAAAGTAGTCAATTAATCATCTTTATCCCAACCCAAGGGCAATGTCACTTACCAGTGCCTCTGAAATTAAATGTCTGCTAAGTTTTCACTCCTGCAGCCTTGGAATTCTCAATTCCACAAGGATGGACTCTTGACAGTAGTAAACTGCAGGTCGGAGCAGAGACCTTAGCTATGTCAAGCTGCACTATATCAACAGGTTGTATTTATGCAACTTGGGTTACTGAATAATGCCAAGAGTCACAAACTAGTCTTCTGCCAGGGGTGTTAGGATGAGGCAACTGATGAAAATTTCATAAATCAAGTCATTTGCACAATGACATAATGTCATTTTTGCCATCTTCATGGCTTGGACCAGATACCTATATCAGCCACATATTAGCTTAGTGTGTTGCACAAACCCTATGATAGTGCTTAAAAGGCAACCCCCTTTTACCTTTGAAGCCATTTCCATGGTGTCAGATTGAAATGAAAGGCTGCAATTGGATCCTCCGTGCTGTAACTCCAGTCCTACACAGGGTTTCTCAAAAATGCTCTAGGATGTTAATATGGGAGCATAAAGCTGCAGCCTTAATACCTGAGCTGCAGAATGTGCAACTTCCATTGCTCAAGGGGTCAGTTCAAGGTGGCACTCCAAAAGTGGATTGGGCCATGGTCCCTTTTGAAAGGGAATTTCAGGAGTTTAATGAGGTGACATGGGCGCCTCAAGTAAGGTACCCATTTTGGTCCTGAAAACCCCCACAACACCCCCTCCCAAATGCAGGAAAATTAGGGGGACAATTTAATTCCCTCACCCTCTTTTGGGAAAGGCTTTCAAGTCCACAGAAAGGATGCTGGGAACAAAGGATGTTTTGTACACCCCACACTAGCTCAATGGAATAAAAATAAATATGTTAATTAAAATCAATACACATTAAACAAACAAAAGTCTTGCAACAACCACATTTGCTAGTTAACTCCAGAGGCTACAATATACAATCATTTTAAGTAACTCTTTAAAATCTATCCTGTGTTTGTTCCGGATACTGATGGCTTCAAGATAATGATCTTAGTGACTGTTGCACTACCAGCTGTAGAATTCAGTAAAAATTTGAAGAAATATAAACGTATTCAGAAACCTCAGAAAATGCGTACCATGAGAGAAAATAAAAGGAAATGACAGCAGATACTCTCCCTGATTTTATTTATGTAAAATCATAAATGTAAAAAATAAACCATAAATTTATGTGAAACCATAAATAAGTAAACAAATGCACCAACTCTTCACTTGCATGAAACTGTATGACATCTAACAGATTAAGTGATAAGTCTAACATGCTGTTTGCCTTTAAAATTTGTTACTCATCCTTGGAAAGCTGGAGGAAAATAGCTGGAGGTGAGTTTTTCAGAGAATGGCAGGTATTTGCTACTCAGTTGTATTATTTGATATACGACTTGACTAAAATTATTTTTATTACCATCAACTAGAACTACTTCTAACTCCTACATGCAGTATAGCACAATAAAATTTTATAAATAGAAAAACCGCATCTAAGACAGATTCCGGATGGCAGAAAGACTTAATTGCTATCTACAATTTATACTGTACGAATAAATCACAAGATAGTACCAATTTTGAGTCTGCCCAAATTTCTCAGAATTGTCTACATTTAAAAAAAATAATTTTATTAATGTGCAAATCTCTGTTCTAAGAGTTATCTCTTCCTGGTCCTATCTAGACAAGGTAGGTCAAGATTGATTTTTGAGCGGTTCTGTAGCCACTTTTTGCTCGATAGGCTGCTCAGGAGTTGGTCCGAACCCATTAACTCTTTCTGCCCAGATAAACGGAAACAGTAATTTTAAAAACCGTGTAGAAACCGCCAGTTCCTGAGCCTACCAACCATCTTGCCTTCCCTCTCATTTTCCGACCGCTCCAGCAACAAACCGATCTCCAGCTGCCTTTCGCTCTTGCAAAAGAGATCCGCGCGCAACTCCCCCGCTTAGTCGCCTAAGTTTCTCTTA